GCCTACAGAGGGACCACACACCCCATATCCAGTGTAAACCCGAAGGAATAAGACCGGGAGGCATGTGGACGGGAGCCACATTTCAGCAACGGAGCCGGCCCACACTACTTCACAGGCAAACACATGTACGAAGTATACAGGAGAAAAGCGCACACAAAACGGCGGCTGGACCGTAGTACGCTCCACACTGAGTGCATGGAACCACTCTTTGATACTAACACGGCCACAAGGACCGTGCACCCTGTCCCCTCAAGCAAGGACCAACTGTCTCTTGGAGCCAGTTTGGACGAGGTAGTGGGTAATAGACAGGTAGGCACCTTGTCAACATGCACATCCAGCGCAGCCACACGGGGGATATCAAGCAACAGCCATTCACTTGGAACGACAAGATAAAATAAAATAAACCGAATAATGCATACAGCTACGGAGGCATAACTCTTCGCTAAAGTAGCATGTAAGTAAGTTGTTTAGCAACGAATCCGCGATAAGGAAAAATGTCCACAAGTTACTTAAAAATGAAATGTATCCAGCTTAAAAAGACCTAGTTTAGGTGTAAGTTGGTTTAGCCCAACTACGGTGGAGAAGCATCATGAATGCAACATCAGCCTCAGCATGGGGCACAACAAGCTGGTTTTAATATACCAGTTAAGATGGCTCGGTCACATCCTCGCATGTCAACTAAGAGTTGGCCCCATCCCGCTCTGTTTACGTCTGCACGACTTAACTGGAAGAGACCACGTAGCGGTCAAACGTTCACCTGGCGGAAGCATATAAAATCATTGACTTCACGTATTGTTACTTAGTTGTTGACCTAAGGGGAAGAATGGCGATGGCTCGAAACAATTCAGGATATGGCTCGCCACCGAAACCAGTGGAAGTTCTGAGTACGTAGTTGTTTAGATTCAAATAGTCAACGCCTAACAAGTAAAAGAAAATGAAGAAAGAAAGAACGGCGTGTGAAAAAGTAACAAAAAGGTTCCGCTTCGCTTTTTTGCAGCAAAATACCTAAAGCGTGTTTCTCACCCACAACTAGTATGCTATAATGACGTTCTGCGGTGACTCCACCTGTCATCCGCTGTATTTAATGGCTTCGTCTGACTCTATCTCTATGTATTAGACAGTTGCTACAAAACCTATACGTGTCTTCCTGCAGATTATCTGGTTAAGCAATGTATATTCATCAAGTTCTCCTGACACGTTAATTGCGCTAAGGTCATCCCAGGGGATTTGCAGAGCCTCAGTTTTTAGGTCTACGAAACAATTGTTCTTTCGTTCACAAAATAGTATATTTGCAGTTTATAAATTTTCAACGTTGCTCCGTCTACATCCTCATCAAGATGGCTTCTGGTGTCCTAATCATCATCGTGATCAATTCGTCGTCTAACCTGTGGGTAGTGTAATAACCATGTAAACCAAAGGGTGACTCACCATCGGTCACTAAACTACAAATGCAGTAGCCCATGTACCGCAACCTTATGTTACTCTACCTGACCAGTGTCTGAGTAGTTTAGAGATCTGGCTTGCAACCCCATGGGTCACTCTTCCGAGCCTGCATAGAGAGGTAAGTCATTGTATTTGCATTTCTAACCCCCCATATATACAGGTTACCGGTGGTTGAGTGTCAGCGAAGCCTAACTACTGCTGTGGTGTCGGGGACACAGCAGTAGCTAGGCTTCGCTGACACTCAACCACCGGTAACCTGTATATATGGGGGGTTAGAAATGCAAATACAATGACTTACCTCTCTATGCAGGCTCGGAAGAGTGACCCATGGGGTTGCAAGCCAGATCACTAAACTACTCAGGCCGTAAAGCCTAAGCTTACTCCGATCCAGTGTTTCTCAACACAGCTGTGAAAGAATCAGTGTTCAGCGCTCTGTTCAGGTTGCAGTCACTCGCCATTCCTTGTGACCTTGTCAGCCAGTGCGGCTGCATTACCCATCACACGGACCGCGCGACCACGCCGACCGCTCATTTGACCTTGCAACCACCACGCTCGCCTGACCGATGTGCGCCGCTCTCAAAGCTGTAAAAGTACAGAACGCTAACCAACCCACTGGGTCAGGTAACGACACCAAATTGAATGGCAGAAAGGCGAAACCGAAGAGACTCCCATCGAAAGGCGTTTGCGGGTTAGGAGAATGTCATCGGGTAGTAAAAATCGGTCTGGCTTGTTCGCACTGTTTAGCATGGTACCATACGAAATGTGCAAATGTGTCCCAACAACAGTTACGGTAGCGAAATAGCTCCCAAGATGCATTTTGGTTCTGTACTGCGTGTTCCACCATTCCCCTCGTTAAGTGCTTGCTTATCCTAGCTGAGAAATGCGACCGGTTAATCGCAGAAGCAGAGCAGAGGATAAACAATGAGATTACTTCAATGGGAGCGAGTATGGACCACAGAAGCGTAGCGGCTGCGAAGGCAGTTTGCATAC